TTAATATTTAAATTTAATTAATTAAATATTTTATTCTTCTCAATTACTTAAAAATATTTATGGTACAGTTATTTTTTTTATATGTTAAGTTACATAATAAAAAAATAAATTTTAAAATTTTTAATTATTCTCATCAATATATTATGAAAAGTGAAAATTGGGCTAAATTAGGCTGTACTTAGAGATGAACCACACAACCCCCGAATGATGCATTTCTCAGATTAATTTATTATTCAGAACTTCCAAGTTTATGTTACTAAAACGGACGATAATTGGTTATTACAAACAGACAAACCGACCATTAAAAACAACGACGTCATTGAATTGAATACACTCATGTTTTGAAGATATACTATTACAACTTATAAGCTCATTCTGTCTTGTTTTATTTTTTTTATGGGAACAACTTATAAGCATTAAACATTTTCCTTTTTTATGTTCTATTTTTCTTGGGAATTAAATACCATAAAGAATACTCCATACCTAAAAATTAGGTATGAATCAATTGACCTTTTTAAGGTATATAAGGTATCTGCTTAGTATTAAGTACCCATAGAGCTCCTTAATTATATACCATGTTTGAAAATTTAAAAGTGGGTTTAGTCTTTTTTTTTTTGGTCAAATCTTATATACCTTGTTCTTTAACTTGGTCAAATCTATTTTGTTCCATTGACACTTTTCAATAATTGGACGCACCATTCGAGTTCAAATTAAGACATGGCAAAAAACTTTAAAAATATACTAACAACCTGTTGATTCGAGTAGAAATAGTTTAATTTTCTTTAAATAAAGTTTAAGTTCAAATCTTATGAATAGAACTAGATTAGTTTCTCCTTTTATGAGATCCGACATTACTTGATTTTGGAGCAGTTAAAATTTAATATAATTATCGAATATCGAGAGATTTTCTTGAAGTATGATTAGGGCTAGTGATACATGTTTTGGGTTCAAACTACTTCAATCTTCAAACTTCAAACTCTATTGATGTGTATAATTCAAATTTGTGTTTCTTAGCCCGGATTTGACAGAGTTGGTGTGGGTTTAAAGAACCTGCTCTCTGAAGAGCCTAATAGGAAAAAAAAAAGGAAAAAAAAAAAAAGAAGAAGCCAAATTACCCATTCTTTAGACAAAAATCAAGCTGTAAGAAGTGGCCTTAATGTAGC